TACACACGAACGCAGAAAGTACATACGTTGTTGAAAAGATTCGATCGCTCAATATCTCTATTCGGGAGTGAACTGTAGACAGATACATGTCACAAATATATTTTTAGATGACAGAAATATAGCGGTGATGTTCGTTAGATGCTTTACCATTAAATTTGATACAAGTTTCTTTCATTACAAAAAACACATTTTTCCGAATTTTGTGTGATAATGCCTGGTTCTCTTCAGCAGCACATTATTCGAAAGACTCATTTACCAATGTTGATCGGGGAGAGTAGTGGATGGGAGACAGGGTGCACACTTGACTCCTGGGCCTTTCTAGGGTTTCGGTGACATGTTAAATGTGGTGCCTCCTTCGTTGGAAATATGCCTCTTTAAATGGTAATGTGAATGTTAACCTTTGGTTGTATACATCCCAGGAAACTGAGAATGACATTTGCGAGGACACGGGTCCTTTGACCGGAATTATAATTATTATCATTATCATTATTATTTACAGATTAAAATAAAAAATGCAGGAAAGAGGGTTTGGGTGGTTATTATTATTAAAATATTTAGTCCTCTGTCATTTTCATCCCAATTTAAACACGATCATTATTTCATGTACTAGGACTTCTGGGCGAAGATAGATTGTAGATTTTCCGGCATTGTGACTTGACTGCTGCTGACAACACACTATCGATCTCGTCGTCTTGATGTGTCTGCACGATGTGAACTGCTTGTTAGTATCTAACACAACACACCGCCTAACACTAAACTGAATGAGCATTTACGATACACACGACATGTACTTACTTTGAGCTCCAGCTAGGTGATGTGTCACTGTGGAATACGAAGACAGTAAATTGATAAGGGTTGAAGTAGCACTGACGTAACACCTTCCGATGGAGAACGCATGTGAAAGAAAATTCATCAGTTGAAATTTCAAGCTGTGATCGATCTGCAAGTCGATACCATTCTCTCACACTGAGGCCTAATACAACTCAAACAGGGATATGGTTGTCACGTGTTGGCGATAACATATTTTTACTATTGGCTGAAATTCCTAGGACCTGTGGAAGTCGACTCGTATCGGTTGGGCGCATTAGCATGGACGCTGAATATTACGCATTAAAGACTTGAGTAAAAGAGCCGTCAATTCCGGACACATCATTCAGGAGCTTTCTCTGGAAATTGGAGTCATAAGAAATTTCCCAGTGTCAATCGATCGTGATGTACACGGGAATTCTGCATACTGACTGCACTGCATATGCTGATATTGTAGCGTGGATGAAGAAACATACACAAGGATTACACGATCCGAATAGAATATAACAAATCTGGTAAACGATCAGGCAAAATACCATTTGCCATATTAACTGTTCATCAAGTCCAAAGATTCTATGCGAAATGCATGAGAACCTTTGTACACATGTAAAAATAAAGCATCATTACGTCAGGTGCTGGGTGAGGTGTTATGCAGACCGAGAGGTAATTACCAAAAGCCTGTATACGAAACATTTTTCAAATGGAAAACTATTTTCTAAAGTAGTATACAGAAATGAATTGATAATAAATATATTGATTGCAACTGTTTCTCGTAAAACATCGCGTGCTGAAATGGCCAGATTGTAGCAGGTAGAGAAATTTAGAGTTACCTTCCTTGGTTGTTTCAAACACAGGACAGCTTAATCTTGCAAATTGTTGCGTATTGTGACAGTTTGTCTGGATGTATATATGGGCCATATATAGACTTTCGAGAGTGCACTCGCCAATTATAGGGCTTATTAAGTAATGCTGCTGCCAATTATTTGACCCATTTTATTGCCTTTTGTGTGATTGCAAACCTAAAACCGTGTGTTCCAATATAATTTATAATTATGCACTGATCCTGTGTTAACCGCTGTTTTATGATTTGGTAGTCACCTCGTAACAGAAGATACTGAAGCCCTCGCTATTCTACAATCTGTCACATCAACATATTTCTTTTCTATCACATTTCAAAACCGATTTATTTAAAGCAAAATTTAACCGACAACCAATGAATAATTTGTTCAATGAGGAAAAACTTTTTTAAAGAAGCATCTCGCCTTCCTTCATAGTATTTCTTTAACTCTACAACCAGAATACAAAACGTTTTTGCAGGATTGTCAGAAAACGAACGTGTATTAACTGGAACAACTCAAATGAGTACAAACTGATATGGTGAACTGCTAGAAGCGTGACAGGTAAAATGTCAATATAGCAATAATGTAAGTATCGGCTGCATCTTAGTAGGCTGGCGTGGGCCTTTCATGAGGCAGTCATACGCAAACAAGAGATATTATAGTGTGAATATGTTTTGGGAAAATCATATACGCAGCCGGGAAGTCCGATATACAAATAAAAGCGACAAAACCTTTTTCCATATTCAATAGAAATCTCTGCTAAAATCAGATTCGATTGTACGATTTCGACTATATCATGAGAATGTGTTTATGAATCATTATTAAACAGTGATGATACTAGGTGTTCGCGGAAAGGTGAGCGTATCCTACCACACACTCACGCAAAGGAAAGTCACATATGGTATAAGTCAAAATAGGGAATTGCATCGGACATCATTTTTGTCACTGAAGCGTCAAATTTGGAAATGTCCTCCACCAGGTCTACTATAAAACGTTTTGAAAGCTTTACTCAGGCCTTGAATGTTGACCTTGATCAAACAATTTCTGAGCAAGAGTCGTATGACGCTTTTTGAAATCATTGTAGAAAGAGCATGCTCGATCGTATCTCAGAACTAGTGAAATGTAAACACCTGAGGCAGGAGCTGCTGGAATATTGCTTTTCATAAAAGGAAAGTTGACTATTGGAAAGTTGAAGTCATCCCTCGTGTCATACAGACTTGTGGAGAGTGTTTAGTCACTCTGAGTCGTTATGCATGGATCTAAATATGAAACAGATGAGGCAGTCCCACTGGGATTCTTTATTACTAGTTCAATGTCAATGTTTGCAAATGTTCTGACTCGTGTGCACAACTTATCCTTTAAAAAGTGTAGGAATGCGAATTGCTTAGACACACCATGGCTTAGACATAGGAAATACATGTTCGCGAGAGGCAACTTGATGCACGTGTGAACGAGAGGAAAATCTATATATTCAATATTGTGATATGTTTTCAGAAGTGAAGTCAAGTCAATATTTTAAAATTTCAAGTAATAGCATTTGAAACTTATTCAGGGAAGAACATTAACAATACTTTTTCGGTAAGTAATATTCTCTGAGGTGACATAATAGTTACATATTAGGATAAAGTGTTATTCATAGTCTATACCAAGCTTACATTCAGGACATGTGTGTAGTGTTAAATCTATTCGAAAAATGTACCTTCGTTTACCTGCAGCTCAAAGTCTAATAATCTCAGTCCAAAGAGTTTTGAACTCTCTATACAATATGTACCTAGAACTATTGTTATTATATTGAAAATACATATATATTGCTTCATTTTAAATACCCGAAGAAAAGCTACATTAGTATATTCATTAGTCCAATATGCATTGATATAACACAATGAATAAGGAACTGTTTACAGGGCGTCAAGCTTATTTTAGAGCCATGCTGGTCCTAGAGTAACTATAGCTTGCGGAGTAAATTGCAACATTTTGGCTACAATGGGTTAACATTAGAAAATAGATTCCACTTCAGGGCATGTCGTCATAAACATCGTGAAACTATTCAAGATTCCCGAGTCTATATAACCAATGAATTTATTTATTAGAATTGAATCAGTTGTGTGTGAGAGGAAATCGATAGACGTTCTCCAATAATATGGAAGTAGTGATGAAATATTTACGACAAACGTCAGTACAATGTCCTTCAAGATGAACAGTGTCCTTGGTTTCATAATCTTGCAAATACCCACTATATATATATATATGTGTGTGTGTGTGTGTGTGTATAGATTATATATATATATATATATATATATATATATATATATATATATATATATATATATATATATATATATATATTGAATCAAAGCATTGCCATTCTTTGTACATGTGTATGTGTTTGAGGAAATATTTGCATTTTTTGTTTAGACAAGTACATCACGACCAAGTAAATGAAATGGTATATGCTTTTAATGTCAAGTGACATAAATACGACTGTAAGTAAATGTTTCAGCTTAGCGGAAACTGAAAACGGAGCCTGTCATACCGGTTAACCTAATATCCCCAATGGCTGCAAACAGAGTAATCGTTAATCAAGACACTAACTCCTGGTCTAGAGCGTTATCCCAGGAACACTCGATGAATCATTCACATCAGGCAGTACATCAGGGCATAATAGTGAGAAATACTAACAACACTTTCAATGACAATATAATTATAAACCCTATTTTCTCATCACAGGAAATGGAACTGAAATTATTTTCTAATACTGTTATTTCTCCCTCACACGACTGTTAGCTGATTACTTTCATACACAATGGATACAGATCACTCCACGATTGAAGGAACATGTATTATTGATCTATTCTAGAATAGAGTAGACAGCAGATAATACACTCTCGTCTGTCTCTTTAAACAAAACAAAACGGAAGGCAAAGTGTCTTGCATGAGCATCAACAATTGTAAATAATTAAAACTCACCGTGGAAGTTTATTTTGCTGCTTGAGCAAACACCAGCTGTTGACAAGTTATGACTATTTCTATTCCTTATTTGCTCACACTTTTATATTTACATTGAACAGTTTAGAACAGATAAGCTTACTCCCATGAGCAGTATCACCAGGTGCGACAAGCAGGCGAGCCAAATATGAAAATACAGGCCCAATACACCTCCATCCTCAACCCTGCCACCAACACCCTCACATAACAGCATAACAAAGCCATGCTTCCTTATGGCAAATGATATGGGTCTGTTATCTCGTTCGCAGCAATGTATTCGTGAGTTTCGCTCATGATGGTATTCTGACACCATACAGTAGTTAAGCCGTTTCAGTTAACCCCTTAAAACCGATTCAGAGTAATACTCACGAGCTGGAATGTGGTGGCAAATCCTCACGGTGAAGAGACGTGGAGGTAATCTGCCTCTGTCTACAGCCTTCAGACATAAGATTGCGTACTGTCACATTCACGTCCACAGGTGGCGGGCGACACGGCTTTAATTTGCTACACACTCTTGCCGAAGATCTCCTCTCAAAGCAAGCCAATGCCATGAATATGCATGAACAAATGCATTCATCAAAATGATTGGCTGTACTTTTTCAATTCGATACTAGTCGATAATGAACTCAAGTAAAAGTGCTGAGCAATAGTCAGTAACGACATACTGCAAACATTGCATTGGAATGTCGGCAATCAGTCGTGTGTTCAACAGTATTCATAGAAAGGTCAGTTCACTTATAATTACAAACTGTGAGGTAAGATTTAAGCGTTTCTCTCTGTACAGTTTATTAGCACTGGCACTTCTACCAGACATCTTCCAGGCAGCTACTGTTATTCATCAACAAATTGATGATAACTGATACGCACATAACGTAAATGTCAATCTGAGATAATCAATACCGACACCTTTTGCAAGTACAATATATCAACGTCAAAGATAACAGACAATATTTTGTCATAACTAATTTCAAACCGAACAGGGTGGAAGCTGCAGAAACGTTACTTATTACTTGCTCTGCTACGAAGCATCGATCCTTGTCCTATGTGCAAACATGTCTTTAAATCTACAACTTGTCCTTGTCAAGTAGGAAAACTACACGTACATGTTGATAGTTTCAACAGTTAAGTGACAAGTGAAACACTGCTAGTGACCAAGCAATATATTTTGTGAAGTCATATGCAATCATGTTTTACATATCTACATACTTCTTTTCTAAAAGGGGCGGTCGGGTAGCCTAGTGGTTAAAGCCTTCGCTCGTCACGCCGAAGACCCGGGTTCGATTCCCGACATGGGTACAATGTGTGAAGCCCATTTCTTGTGTCCCCCGCCGTGATATTGCTGGAATATTGCTAAAAGCGGCGTAAAACCATACTCACTCACTCACTCACTCTTTTCTAAATGTGCAGGCAGGTCAAAATTGTGTGTGTAACCTTGATGTGCAGAAAATATATTGTATAAGCAAATGGTCTTCGTAAAAGAGTGTTCGCTGACTGCCTAGTACTAAATGAATATTACAACCTAACTGTCAGTAGAAACCATTGCGAATAGCTTATGCCTGTGGGGACTCAAAATAGAAGGCTTCCATTGCTATGCTTGAAATGTCAACGAGCAGCAGCAAACGTGCGTTTGTGTACAGAAATGAATTAATCAATATTGTTTTCCCCAGAAAGATTCGGAACCAACCCATGGCTATATATAATCACAGAAATCAAAGGTGTATTCATTACAAGATAATTTTATCAGACACGTGTTCGGTGGTAACTTTGACATATTATTAGGTATGTATAGTGACATTCAAGAAATAAGGATTCAAGGTGGGTTTTTTTATATTAGATCCAATCTCATACAAATACAATCGAATGGAGATAACCCTAGTTATTTGGCTGTTAATCAGGTTTGGTATGCATTCGAAAACAATTATGGTAACCAGTACAGTACCTCGCCTCCTCCATGTTGTGTGACAAGTACGTGACTATATTCACAACCTTTATTGTGTCTTCGGGTGTGTCACATTACTGCCCATGTAAATTATACCACGTTGGAGAACACTGGCAGTGGGACTCTTTGTTACGTTTTTGTTATACATGGGCAAAATATACACATAGTTTCCTGCTAATCGAAATGTAAGATGTGTGTCAAGAAGTGGAATGTCACACCATGTATGTCGCACTGCTTGTAGTACAATTTTACACAGATGGATCTTGGCAAGTATTACGTCGTGTTGCAATTAAAAATGGCCACTCCGGTTGGTCTGTATATATGAATGTCGGAATAATAAAACGAACATATCTATATTTTCCTACATCCAAATGACAATGAAGACATGTTTTATTTATAACCAAGTCCCTGGTGCATCACGGAAGTGACAGCCATTTGCTAAGTTCCTTGGCGTGTGGAAAGCTCTCTCTGTTGGTCAAGTAGATGACAGTTATAACAATTTCCGCTGACAGCGTCATGGGCAAGATTGATGGTAGTGCTGACCACTCGTAACGGTCTAATAACATGTAACACGTGGTTGATCTGTAGCAAGTGTTGGGAAAGACTGTTTCATTACATTAGTGATGCTCACAGTCTCTCTCACAGTCTCTTAACAAGGATACTGAGACGATGATCAAATAAAGACCGACTATAGTCTCTTAAATGCCACATAAAATATATCGAAGTTAAAAAAAGGAAATGCTTATGTGTATACGTTTTGAGCTCTGTTGTTAAAATCATAAAATAAGTACAAGGCACAGTTTTATCCCTTGTTCGATGTTATGAAGATATCAATTCGTGACGTCATTTCCTGTTGCCGCTATCCCATACAGTGTAGACTTATGTGCAAGAAGTGTTCTATACCCTATCATATTGCAGTTATTTTAGTGTTCTATAAACTTCAGCTATCATACTGTAGTTGTTTAAGTGTTCTATAACCTCCACATATCGTACTGCAGTTGTGTAAGTGTTCTATACTCTTCAGCTATCATACTGCAGTTATTTAAGTGTTCTATAAACTTCAGCTATCATACTGTAGTTGTTTAAGTGTTCTATAACCTTCAGCTATCATACTGCAGTTGTTTAAGTGTTCTATACTCTTCAGCTATCATACTGTAGTTGTTTAAGTGTTCTATAACCTTCAGCTATCATACTGTAGTTGTTTAAGTGTTCTATACTCTTCAGCTATCATACTGCAGTTATTTAAGTGTTCTATACACTTCAGCTATCATACTGTAGTTGTTTAAGTGTTCTATAACCTTCAGCTATCATACTGCTGTTGTTAAAGTGTTCTATACTCTTCAACTATCATACTGCAGTTATGTAAGTGCCCTATGCCCTTCGTCTATCATACTGCAGTTATTTAAGTGTTCTGTCCTTCAGATGTCATACCGCAGTTGTTTGAGTGTTCTATGACCTTCAGATATCACACTGCAGTTGTTAAAGTGTTCTTTAACCTTAAGTTACCATACTGCAGTTGTTTAAGACTTAACGGTGAATATTACATAAGTTAGAAGAGAAGGCACAACAAGAGACAGGAATGGGAAATTCTTGTAAACCTTCTTAAATTAATCGCAAAACGATATTACTCTATCTTAAACGTTGTGACAAAATTATTTTCTGCAGTTATTAAATATGGATCATTATTGTTAGGACTGACCGCTACACAAATTTAAAGAAGATGTGACCTTCACATGAGGTACAAACATAAAATGTAGTCCTTAAAGTTTCAAAGTCATTTGATTTTTTAAGAAATGGGTCCGATGATATATTGCGCCACGTATCTGCCGTTCATTGTAAGTCTACGCCCCGTAGGTTCTCGTATTTCCAGTCTCATAATTTGATTTTGAATAAATAGAGAAAGGACACAATAAGTCACATAGGCAAACTTGTGAAAGGGGACTTTTTCCCACATGAAGGATATTGACCTCATCTTCTACGCTGCCAAGTTGTTTCCCAGTGTAAATCACCTTCCCTATCGTTCAGTGTCAGAACACATACCCATTCGGTGAGCTTTCGTCCTCCATACTTATAACAGTCCGAACATTGAGAGGTTTCAACGTTCGCTGCTGCAAATGAAAACTATCATTCTTTGTATGGTGACTTAAACATGTATTGGTGGAATATAGATCGAAGAATGTACATTTTAGTCCACGGATGATAATAATAATAATGTGCACTTATAATGCGCTAACCTCCACGTAGCAGTTCATGCTCAAAGCGCTACACAATTATTACCCCGGTCAATGGATCAGTGAGCACTCGATTTCCTTCTCAGCTCCCTGGAGAGTATAAAACCCAAAGCTGCATGTTAGGCGCTAGATGGTAAACAGCCGCATTACCATCTAATCCTAGCGGGTAACCACCCACTACGTTATACGTTATTAATGCCGTTTGAACGGGGTGTGAGTGTGAAAGCACAAATAATGCCTTCACACAAGTCGAGTTTCACAACCAAACGAAATTTTTGGTGTATTAGGACGCACAAAAAAGATTTGGCTTACCTAAATATCCTACAGACTAACAGTTTATTTCTCTTCCTGAAATCGTTTATTCTCGATAGATATTGTTTTTTCCAATAAAAGGCTAGGCAAATTGTTTCATGCTATCTAAAGCAATAAAGAAATAATCTCTATTTTAAGTGACTCAATAGTTGTTAAAAATATTTTATGTGGCAGACTGTAACATGAATCTCCGATATTTTGGCTTAGACATTGTTACGAATGATTTGTCACAGTTTTCTATCCAAACAACATTATGATTGTGTAAACTGTTATTCAATTTACCACTGTGAGTGGTCTTTTGAAAACAAACATACAATGGATAAATTGATACATATCTTAGCCATGGTACACTGAGATAGGGTCACCCATGTGGTAGCATGCCAAGGATATGACACTATTTCTCACATTTTGTTTTTTTATCCAATTTCTTAAATGATAACTACAGTAACTGCTTTATTCAAATTCAGACTAATTTTTAATACAGTTCTAGTTCATCTATTTGTTATTCAATACTATAATAATACAGGAGAACATAGTTTTTGCCCCAGTAAAATAAAGCATAACTACAGCACAATGAATGCCTTCAGTGCAACTACAAATACCATGTTTAATGAAGACAAATCATAACTTTTGCCAGTTACTAAAGGCCTTGTTACAGTCAACAAAAAGAACATAAATCTGACCATCGTCATTTGTATTATCTCCTATAGCAAAACCTCCCTGGCTGTTTCATTACAATTATTCCTTTATTAATAAATAATAAACACTTTACTGAAAGGTGATGCACCCTAACTGTACAGTTGTCGGCTTTGTTGACATCCACGTGTTCGTCGATAGGAATGATAATGCCAGTTTCCCTCACTTTGAAAACTAAGATTGATCTAGCATGACATCATGTATCAGTTCTACGTAGGGAATTAGTATTTCTTCAGAGTAATTAAAATGTCCGATGTGAGATTGTCTACTCCTGGTTATACTTGGGATTGTAAAGCTTAAAAGGCGACGAACAGTAAAATCGAGGGCGAAGCCTGAGGTCTTTTACTACCAACACTCTCTGCTTGACGCTTTTACAATCCCGAGCAGTGCTGATAAGCTTTACTTATGAAATAGTGTTGAAACGTGATCGTGATCATCAGTTTACTACTAATTAAACATCACTGAACGACGTGTAGTTTTAATCTATATTTAATTGTAACATCG